TTTAAAAAATAATAATTAAAAAAATACTAAAGGGGAAAAACGTACTACATAAAACATGCGATTTTTGGAGGGAAAAAAAAAAAAGAACAGAAAATACGGAAATATGTCTATAATTCAACCCACCGGTCCCGCTACCCCACAGGCTGCCGTCTTGGACCTACTGTTAGTTAGAATATATAAATGTACACACATTCCGGGCGCGTTTCACCTTTTCCTTTCACACGGCCAGCGTTCATTCCATTTGCCGCGCAAAGTTGTTCCCCACCAATTGCAAAGCAGTCACCCTATGGATCCGCAGCCCGAACCCGTCACCTACATCTGTGGAGGTATGTTATCTCTTCTCCTTTACTTAGAGGAGAAGAAAATCCCATTTTTCTTTCCTTAACGGGAAACCCTAAACAAGTTTCCTTTTTTTTTTTTTTTTTGCGAATTCACTTACGGTTTTGCAGATTGCGGGCAAGAGAATACCTTGAAGCATGGAGACGTGATACAGTGCCGCGAGTGCGGTTACCGCATCCTCTACAAGAAGCGAACCCGCAGAAGTAAGCATATTCACTAATTACTTGCTATTATTTCTGATTTTAGTAAATTTATTCTGTTCCTTTGTTTCTGTTTTCCTTTTTTTTCGTCGTGGATGAGTTTTCAATTAGATGGTTTGTGATTTCTTGAGTATTTATTGCCCCTGCTGAATGCAGGGCATGTTGTCAATGGCTTATTTAACATTAGTTCTATAGTGATATTTTGGATTTTGTGGGCATTATGATCTGTTCCGTGTCAATACCTTAGTTGTGGGGTTTTAGGATGAGGGCTTATTTTGAATTTGCTTTTATCAAATGTGTCTGGCCACCATTACTACAGTTTATTAGTTTGGTAGCCTTGCTTGTAACTAAGGTTTTGGAGTGAATTAGTTTTATTTCTGTGGGGTTGATCACCGTTGGGAGAAAGTTTATATAAAGTGGAAGCTGATTTTGTTGGTTGTGGTTTCGATAAAATTTCAAGAATCTCATGGTTAACATGTGAAAGAGTCTATTTCAGAATGGAATCTCTCCAAATAAGCAGCCTTATCAGTTATCAAGTATGCTCAAATCAGCTTGGAATGATAGCCTGAGATCTATCTTCTTAGTTGGATTTTAATGCAAGGAAATTTGATGAAGGATTTCTAGTTTTGGGAGAGAGGTCGAGAGTGGAGACAGGAGGTTGGAGTTTATTTTATCAAAATGTCAATTTGAAGATTAATGGTTCTGATAACTTGAAGTGGTGCATCTGTTTATCTGGAAATGATTTTACCCAGTTTTCTATTGGGATCTGAACTCAGGTGACAGACTGTATTGTTATTTGTTAGGAGTTTAACTTTCTATTCTTTATATGTCCCAACACAACTAAACTCAATTAAGACTTAAATGGAAATTTATCAGAAGCTCGAATGTTAGGATCCTTTTTCTCCATTTGATCCAAAGATGGTCTGCAGTATTTTGAAAATCTAAAAGAGCCTAGATCTGTTCAGGTGATGTAGTATTCAGTCTACTTTTACACATCTTTGTTTCTTGAATGAAAATGAAAGTTCTATTTTCATTAAATAAAATGAAAGTTCAATAAAATTTGAAGTAGTGTTAATTTATAATTATGTTATACATTAGATTGCATAAAATTTACAATCATAGTGCTTTACTGTAATTATATTTAAGTCATACAATCTAACTTACGCAAAATGATGCATGCCCTTGTTAACATCTAGGGAGCCCTGCCTGCTTTTTTGTTTTGATTCGCTAGTATGAGGAAAAGCTGTAAAATTGCCCAAGGAGAAAAGGCCTTGAGTTCCTCTATTATATGCTCTTCTACCTAGCCCTTATCCTTCTTAAGGTGCTTTGAAATTTTAAGTGTTTATGGTTTTGCCAAGGCATCTATATTCATCAATTAATTTCTAAATCTTTTGATGTTGCAATTCATTTTTGGTTTACAAACCCATATTAACATTATTGTTTTTTATATCATGCAGTTGTTCAACATGAAGCTCGCTGAATGTGGAAATCAGAGAAAGGAAAGCATTTAGCATGTGCGTCAATGAGAACCAAAATGGAAATCTGGTTTTGCTGCAAAGTATGTGTCTGTAACTAGTTTAATGGTAAAAAGAACTTGAATAGCATTGGACTATATCTGCTTGGAAACCTGAGTGACCCTTTGCCACAACATTGCAATTGTTCTTGTTTTTTGTAGTGTCCTAGCAAACAACATGTGCTTGCGTGTGACAAAGTGCTCATGGTTTTTGTGGAAACAATAGTCTTTATTCGTTGTGAATGTGTGTTCTTCTGTTTCTTGAAGGCAAACCCATCTCTTTTCCCAAAGTTTCTTTATAATTTTTTAATTGGATTTAAACTCTTCTTGAAATATTTTTGCTCTTCTCTGAACATACTGTTTTCCGGGATAGGCATGAATTATTTTGAAGTTACCATGCAACAAGTTGATTACAATATACATACATCTGTATTCTAGATAGATTCTGAAAATGAATTTCTGCATCTCTGGCAAAATACAGTTTCATCATCTTGATTTTTATTTTATTCAACACATGAATTTTGTTGGTTGACTCAACCTTTCTTCCTTGAGGACTACTTTCTGTTCCTTGCTATCTTTGGCAATGACTTTAATAGCTACAATCTGATCAAAAAGCACTTCTCTCTTCTTCTCATTCTTTAGCTTGTGAATGCTCTCAATAAGCAGACGTTTGTTCTTGAAGACATTTCCCTTCACCTTCATGTATGTTTCCTTGTAGATGTGCTTGTCGATCTTCTCCAATTCCCTGTACTTCCGAAGCAGCCGTCGCATCACACGCATTTTCCTCATCCATAGAACCTTGGAAGCCAGCCTTGCCTCTCTAGAACCCTTTCTCTTTCCATAGCCAGTATGCCTCCCTTTTCTCTTGGCTTCATGGATTTGCCTTGCTCTCCATCTTGAGTGCGTTGCCATTGGCTTCTTTACTATTAGACCCTCTTTAACGAGCCTTCTTATGTTCAGTCCTGCAAATTCAGTTCACTAATTATCAGAATATTTCCTTCCACACGATAGTGAGATGAACTGTCAATGAGCTATTTTTTTGGCAAATTAATAATGTATTTTGATCAAGTACTTGTTTGAGGTTTGGAAGAGTTATGAGCACGAGAAAACAATAAAGACCAAAGGGCATGGTACATACTAGAATTGGCCATGGAGATGTCAACTGTTTCGTTGGGGTCGAGCCACACTTTTCCCTTACCGCACCTCAGTACGCTGGCAGCTAGCCGCTTCTGCAACTTCAGTGACACCATTGTTAAGATGATGATAGGTTTTGCCCTTCCTCTTCAAATAACGTTAATAGGAAAATGCTTTAAAATTCCGACCGTGTGTAGAAAATGACAAGCAAGAACTGGGGGATCTAATTGGTTTAGTTTCTCTTGAATTCTGTCGTTTCATATTTATGTTGGATGGTGCTTCATACATTTCTTGGGCGGCAAGTTCATGTCGCTTTTTTGACCATTAGACTTATTGGAATGCTGAAGAATTCTTTGGTTTCTTTTCTTGGGGACAAAGTAGGGATCAGGAGAAACTGACATGAAAAATTTGATAAAAAGAGAAATGGGACATCGAACAAATTCAGTCAACAATAAGCAAATATTAGATGGTCATGGGTATATATCATATTTGTGAGTAACTGATATGTTTGGATGGTTATTTTAACTCAATTTAAAAATAGGCAGTTGAATATTAATATTAAAAATGCATATTTACCAAGAATTAGGTTAAGTATTGGTATGAGAATCCTAACTTGCATACAAGACTTGTACACTTAACCCATACGTACATACATATATAAGTATAGACATAACTCACGAGCGGGTAAATGAGTTGGCAGGGGATTTTTTCAGTTTAACCAGAGGTCTTGGTTTCAAGTCCTGAAAATGTAACTCTGTTAAAACTCGTGAGGGAGAGCTCCATCGCCTATTGAGTCCTG